TCATTAATAACCGTTTATTGCATTTTGTGATTGTTGTAACATCCATCACCTCATAAAAACATAGATGTTGTTCATGAACACTTTCATGTTCATAAACAATAGAGTCGGAAGATACATGAGTATGAATGAGCCAGCAGATTCATGTTTAATGTCAGCTAGTGTTAATTAACAATTGATTTTTATAATATTTTAACTAAATATAATAAGTGATTATTAGTAATCAATAGTTGACTCATGGCAACAATGATTACACACATTATGCTTATTACTGGTTGGAGATTGGATAACGGAAGACATTAAACAATATAAGATACAGTTTAGTGTTATAGTTAGTTATACAATTATTTATGTTGGATACAGTAGTGTAGCCACAAGTTATATAAAATACTTGCTCTAATAAGAAAATATCTGACTGTGCGACACTATAACAGGTGAAACGTACAACAAATAAGATTACATATAGGACAAATTGTAGTTATATATAATCTTTCATTGTTTTAATATGTAAATTATTCCAATTAATTGCTTCTAATCCAGAGTGTTGTGACATTGAATAATTTGCAGCACTATCATGGAAACTATTTATAAATTCTATATACTGTAAAATGACTAATTTTCACTGGGTTTAAATTTCGCTGATTTACCATTTCAGGCATATTCGGTGGGTTTTAAATTCACGGTTTTATCATTTAGATAATGTGTTCTATGCTAAATTTTACATATTCGCTGGGTTTTAATTTAGCGCATTTTCCAGTCAGCGAAATAAGCAAAATTAAAACACAGTGAATAATTAATCCCTTTACAGTACTTCAGAAACCATGCCATGTATATATCCAACTACACTAGGAGAGGTATGAAAAGCAATACCTTACAATGAGAATGAAACATGTCCAATAAATAGTCCATTCGCTGATGATTATAGTTACATGTTGATCAACACATTTGGGTTATATATCTGTATGCTTAATATAGCAATTCACACGAAAGGAGGTCCACATCAATTGTTTTTCTCTATGACCATAAAAACTGTCATATAGTGCACCTACCAACCATCTGAATGTAAATTAATTGTATCAAAATAACAACATAGCAAAGAAGAGTAGTAAGAAAATATTAGATGAAGATCTAGCTAATTATTACATTTATATGCTACAGTTGTTACAATGTATATGTATGGAAAATATTATATTCTTACATACTTCTGTTACATGTCCCGATGTAGCATTTTTTTACATTCTGAAGCATTTAATAATGATACTTACAGAACAATAAACATATCTTCATAAAAAAGGGTTGCATATACAAATCTGTGATATTAATATCTAATTAGAGACAAATAATCAACTTTTCACTGAAATGATATCGTAGATGCTGACTGTGTACTAGACCCATTCAGTGCATTTTTTCACACGATCTCGGCAATTGAAGAATATATTATAAATCATTGGAGAGTGACAATTTGTTCACATAAAATAACCCTTGGCATATTGAGAACATACTTCACCCATTATATTGACGATTTATTATGCTGAATGTAGGAATATTGAAGAAATACGATATTTGAGGTCAAGGGCAAAAATATACAACTCAAAGTATTTATAAACATTTCTCTTTCTAACCCTCATATTTATTCATACTTTGATCTCGATAATGGTCAACGGTACCTAGATAATATACTGAACGTCATAATTTATGGTTTAATTGTTGAAAACTACATTTTCTCAATTTTGTTACTAGTCACATATTTGTTATAATTCTTATTTTTTTAGGATTTATACACCTCCAACTCTAATTTTTTTAATGAAAAGAGACCTTATATGAACAAAATAATTTAATACTAGTTTATTCAATGTTTTGTGAAGTGTTTCATTGAAGAATATAATGTTTGATTTTAAATGGCATTTAATATCAATAAAAAATGATTTATGAAATATTTGATTTTACAGCTTTATTATATAGAATATGTGGTGAGTTTGAATCGGTTTTCATTATTATTTTACTCAATTGGCAGAGAATGTATTTATTAATATATAGTCCATAAAAACAAACGACCGATCTTAAATGAAAAAAAAATGTAATACTAGTTTATTTAATGTTTTGTGAAGTGTTTCATTGAAGAATATAATGTTTGATTTTAAATGGCATTTAATATCAATGAAAAATAATTTATGAAATATTTGATGATATTACAGCTTTATTATATAGAATATGTGGTGAGTTTGAATCGGTTTTCATTATTATTTTACTCAATTGGCAGAGAATGTATTTATCAATATATAGTCCATAAAAACAAACAAATCAAGTAAGGACAGTTTTAATCGCTAAAGATATTTACATTGTTTTGCTACAATCACTTTATTGTATTTATTTCTGAAATATTATCTTCTAACACATTTGTGTTACATGTCACTACATTACATGTGTTAGCATACGAAGATATTAGGTACATATACAAAAAGTATTGATATGCAGCATTGACCTTCCTGACATGAACATGTGTTGATCTTTTGTGACTCTATTCCATAAATGCTCTGCTCGTTCTGACACGTCTCGAGGTAAAAACAATTTGCTATGCAATTATATTGACATACTTATAACACAAAATGGGGTAAGAATGTAGAGAGAACCGGCCGTAGCATTATTTTAAGTGTTTTATTCATTTGAATGTGACAAGTTCATCATACAATGAACACTTTACTTATCAGGAAGCTAATGTTTTGTATTAAAATACATCAAAGTGATTGTAGAAGAATTGTGTAATCTTTTAAGATGTATCATGGATATGTAAGATTATAACATTTTGCATTCAAATCCATCAAAATGATTGTTGCAAAATTATGTAATATTTTTAGATGTAGAATAAATATGTAAGATGCTAATATTTTGTATTCCAATACACCTATGTGATTGTAGCAAAATATTGTAATCTTTTCAGCTGTATCAAAAATACATAAGACGTGTCAACAAACGACACGTGTTAACATATGAGGAGACTAGCTTCCTTTACAAAAAGTATTGACATGTAGCATTGACCTTCCATACAGGAACATGTGTTGACTCTTTGTGAATGTATTCCATAAATTCTCTGCTCGTTCTGACACGTCTCGAGGTAAATACAATTTTCCATTTAATATGCAATTCCATTGACATACTTATTGCACAGAATAGTTTATGAATGTAGAGAGAACCGGATGTAACTTTATTTTCAGTGTTTTATTCATTTGAATGTTATTTTTTGGAAATAATCGTAAAATGTGCTTGCCATGAGATGTTTACAAGAAATGTGACAGGTTCATCATATAATAAAAATGTTACTTATCAAAAAGCTAATGTTTTGCATTCAAATGCATCAATGTGATTGTAGCAAAATTGTGTAATCTTTTTAGATGTAGAATAAATATGTAAGATACTAATATTTTGTATTCAAAGACACTTATGTGGTTGTAGCAAAATATTGTAATCTCTTCAGTTGTATCAAAAACATTTGTCACGAATTTACACATCTTAATAAAGGAGGAGATTAGCTTCATATACCAATAGTTTTGACAAGTAATATTGTGACAGAACCCTTCTGTTATTATTACATATGTTCCCATAATTCGAGAAAATCGCAATCACGTCACCGATGCGCGTTTGTTTACTTACGTACGGGTGCGCGCAAGGACATTGACCTAGTTTAGATTACGCGCATTGATTGGTCAATCATGCGGTCCATTGTATTCATAGGCAAATCAAACAGTACGCTATAACGCGGGCGCCAGCGGCATAGGGTAGCGGCAGCTATAACGACAACAATACAAATCGAAAAACAGTATTTGTGTAGTAAATAGTGAATAATTCAATACAATTTCCAACTGACAACAATATAACAATTCCCATGACATTGTTTTATGACATTTCGGCTACTCAAGTTGCACTTTTAGCATTGATTTCAGAGAAATCATGCGTCTTTACTCTTGTTAGGCTCTCATTCAGCAACATAATATTTAAAATTTGTAGTATTTTAACATTTTACCAATAATCAAAATTCATTTTAACTTTTCGATTAACAAAATAAGGTTAAAATCTAAAAAGGGAGTTCCGATACCACCGTACATGTACCACACGACTACTAAACGCATTCTAAACAACTGCCTCGCAAGCCGTACATGATACTCATTTGCATATCGCCCGTGAAAATACAGAAAACATTATTGCATGGGTGATATGCAAATTAGTTTGGGTGAAAATAATAGTCGCCTAAAAGTAGAAATTTCGTTTGTCAAATTTAATTTCATCCCAGCCCAGCCGAGTATGTTTATATAGCACAAGATAAAAATGTTGTAATTTTGATAAATTTTCAAAAATTTACAGTTCTGATAGAACTACTTTGTTTATTCTTATAGCTCATTTGCATATGGGGAGTGAAAATACCGATTTTGATTTCAGGGGAGAATCAAAATATACTGCAGTACATATGTAATAATTGACCTTACTTACAGGAACACGAGTTGAAGTTTTGTGACTGTTTTCCAAAATGGTTGAGCTCATTCTGATACGTCTCAAATGGTATTGTGAAGGGTACTTCTCAATGGTACTTCTGCCCGAAGTTATGCACGAAATAATTGATGTCGATATTTTTCATGTTAGTGGTGAAATGTCGTCTGAGACATAACCAGCAATAAACAAATGCCTTGTTCTATCTTAGTTACCATGTACTATTTTTTTTATTAATTTGAAAGCTATTTGTTTTGAAAAGTAAGACATGTGCTTGCACTAAGCTTCTTAGCAGATTTAATTTTTTTTACATGACTGTCATTATGTAATGAGTTATGACCGATTTTTTCTTTTTGTATGTGTTTTAGGGACACTTTTCAGCATCACACAGTGCAGAGAATAAAGATGAACATCAAATGTTATCTAATTAATGCACTTATTATGTTAACCCTAATCTTTCACCAGTTCACATCTGCTATTCTATTTTTTGGGGAGCAGCCACCGGGATACAGTTTGGAAACCTAATGGTTGACTTACACCTTGACTGTCATTCACACAATTTTGTTCAACTATCCAATGGTCTCAAATCATTCATACAACTTAGCCGAAGTGATGTTGTTCCTATCACCAACCAAGCTGTTGACAGAGAAGAAATTTGCGCCAGTCAGGAACTATGCATTTATCAAATAATTATCACATTTCAAAGCCAGTCTTTCGAATTTGTTAGAATTAACATTGAAATTTTAGACATGAATGATCATAACCCAACATTTCTACACGATGTCATATGGGTAGATATTTCAGAAACAACTGCCATTGGGTCAACGGTTGTATCACTCTTTGCTTTTGACCCTGATGTGGGCAACAACACTGTACAAATGTATGACCTATTCAAAACATATCTCTCTTCTTTTGGCCTCACCACATATTTCAGTATAGTTCAAGAAGTCATTGTTGCCGAAATAGTGGTGCTGAAAACACTCAAGAGTGAAAAAAAATAGTTATTACAAACTTACACTGTTGGCGAGTGACTTTGGAAACCATATGCGACGTGGACTGGCTTACACTAATATTCGTCTAATAGATGCAAATTATTACAAACCAGTCTTTCAGCAAAATACCTATTATGGTGAAATTTATGAAAATTCGGCCGATGAAGTTGAGTTGATATCTCTACATGATGAAGATCTGGATGCCGAGCAGAATGGCAGTGTAGTTTATTCATTAACTCACAGAACACCATCCCACAGTCGAAAACTATTTGGTGTTGATTCAGTTAATGGTAATATTAAAACGTTACAAAGTTTAGACTATAAAACTGACCAGCATTTTTTATTTGTTTTACAAGCAACCAGCCCATCACCATTTATACCTGAATATGCCACTGTCATAATAGATGTCATTGATGTTAATGACAATTTTCCATATATCAAGTTGAGTTCTACCTCATCTCCTGCGGCAGATGCCCGAATATCTGAAGCAGTTTTGCAAGGTTACACAGTTGCTTTTGTAACCATCTCTGATAAGGACAGTGGAATGAATGGGAAGATGATGCTGCAACTGATGGGATCAAATGATGACTTCGTGCTAGAATAGGCTTACATCAACAAACTTTACAATTTTACCACTGCTCAACATACCCTTGATCGTGAAAACATACCTGAGTACAATCTAACTCTGCAAGTCACTGACATGGGTGAAGACTCTAAAACAACTTGTGCATTCTTTATTATCAAACTTGAAGACATCAATGATAATGCTCCATCTTTCACCGAACAAGTATATACTGCAGACATTCCAGAAAATAATTATGTGGGTGATTTTATCGTCAATGTAAAAGCAATTGACCCCGATTTGGATAAAAAAATGGAGAAGTCGTGTATGCAACAAGGAATTACAAGCATGAATTTAAAATTAACTTTGATACAGGAGAGATCACTGCTAAAACAGTGTTGGATTATGAGATACAATATCTTTATAGGATTGATATTTATGCATGTGATCACGGAACTGTTCAACAATGCAGTGATACTGCTGTTCAACTCAATATCTTAGATCAGAATGACCACAGTCCTTTTTTTCACCCAAAGAACGTATACATTCTCAGTTTCTGAAAATTTATCTCCTGTAACATCAGTTGGAAAAACTATAGCCTTTGATCTTGATACTGCTGATAACAGTCGGTTAACATATTCTCTACATGGAGAGAAGATTCAACAATTACGAATTAATTCTAGTACAGGATAAATCTTCACAAATATTTCCTTCAACTATGAGAACGAAACTTCTTGTGACCTTTTGGTCATGGTAAGTGATCATGGATCCACAATGTACACAGATAGTGCTACTGTACACATCGATATTGTTGATCAAAATGATAATTGGCCATTCATCACATACCCTTTGGAAGAGTCTAAAATATATGTACCACTATCAGCTGATTGGACATCATGTCACAACCATCCAAGCATTCGATGATGATGAAGATGGACTAAATGGTGAACTGCGGTATTACATCACTGAGGGCAATACCATTGATCTTTTCCAAATTACCAAAATAAAGGGTGAAATCTACACAGTTAAAGACTTGATGTTTAAAGCTTGTGGTTGGACATTATCATTTCGGACTTGCCTTTCAGTACTAATAGTACACACTTGCCTGAAATTTTATTTGCAGAGAAATACTGTGACTGAAATAATTATTTTAGTATGTGGAGTTATACTGGTTCTAGTTCTTGCAGTGATAATAACTGTGATCCGCTGCAGAGCGAATAGAACTATTGTTCGGACAAACTATTTTCAAAGAGAGGAAGATATAATGATGCAGATTCAATAAAAACATGTAAGAAGTGTTATATTTTATATACTAAAAGAGCTGTGCTACATCCATCCCATGTATTTTAATGGGAATATTATCTTCAAAATTTACCAAATTGTGATACTGTCAATACTGTGTATTAAAATGTGAAGTTAACTTCAGAATATTACAAAATGTTACTAACCCAACTTATCCTGCATTACAATAGAACTTCTTACCCTGTCACAAATTACAATTTGAATTACATTACAAGGTCTTGCTACATGTCACAACATACATATATGCAAATATGCAAGATGTTAATATTGCTCATCCACCTTCATCATAATGATTGTAGCAGGCATTACTTAATGTCATCTAATCTGCTTTATTAATGGCTCATTAATCATGTTGATCAGCCAAAAAATAGTTATAATCTAATCTTATTTGACACATTCTAAATTATATACCATTGATGCTAGTTAGGAAACTAATCTGCAGTCGGCAAATATATTTACACTGTTTTGATACAATCACTTCAATGTATTGTTTGTGAAATATTATGTTCACACACATTTGTGTTACATGTTACGAAATTACATGGGTTAACATTTGAGGATATTATCTTCATATACAAAAATTAATGACATGTAGCATTGACCTTTCTTACAGGAACAGCTTTTGACCTTTTCTGACAGTTTTCCAAAAGGGTTGAGATCCTTCTGACTCGTCTCAAGGTAAATAGTTTCCCATTTGATATAGACTTATATTGCCATACTAGAAACACAGAATGGTTTATGAATGGAGAGAGAAGATGTGGCATTATTTTCAGAGATTGTTTTCATTGGAATTGTATTTTTTTAATCTAAAAGTGCTTGCAGAGGCACTTTTACAAGAAAGTGTGACATGTTCATCATACAATAAAACATGTACTGATTATCAAGATGCTAATATTTTGTATTCAAAGACATAAATGTGATTGTAGCAGAATTATGTAAATATGTATCATAAATATGTAAAATGCTCATATTTTGGATTCAAATACTTTATCCTGATTGTAGCAAAATAGTGTAATATATTTACCTCTATCAAAACTATATAATGCGCCAATATTCTCTGTCTAATACATCTAAGTGATTGTAGTAGTAATGTTTCCAAGTTTCACAATGTCCTCTGAATATGCAAGATGTTATTATTGGCGATCCGCTCCGCTAGGATTGCCCTTATAATCACTTTTGTTGGCGATCCGCTCCGCTAGGATTGCCCTTATAATCACTTTTGTCGTTTTGTGTGTCTGTGTGTGTACATTTCCAGTGTTTTGACGTATGATTTCTTTGATTTTTTTGGCTTGGCCGATTTCTTTCAAACTTGGCAGTTATGTCACACCTTCACCCTAGTTATAAGAAAAATTTTTTTTTAGCCCACCGTTGCCATAGCAACAGTCAAAAAACTTGATTTTTGGATAGCTTCGCGCCAAATGTATCTCCTCCTACAAATTTGGGATAAAACACTTCAGACATAGCTCATTCTACTCAGCTTGAGTGTGGGCACAAAGTTACTATTTGAATTTTTGATATCTGTTTTCATTACCGAGAAATTTGACCCAAAAGTTGGGGTAACTTTTCACCAGCAACGGCTAGGCTGGT